ATAAAGAAGAAAAAAGGGAATTATTTCCCAAGAAATTCAAACTCAAAGAATATACAATTTAATTACGGAAGGATGTTCTGTCAAGGTTATCAATAGTTAGAACGTTATCAGCCACGCCATCAGTCACAGAGCACGGTGTATGAAAAAAAAAAGTCTTCATCCAGACTAGGGTCTGCATCAAAGGAGCCATTTCTTCCCCTTTGTTCACTAAATTAAACATGTCCAGAGCCGCAAAACCTGCTACAATTGTCATTTTCAACTGGTGGCCCATGGGCCACTAAGTTTGTTAGAGGGGGCTTTTCTGGCCAGTAGGCGTGAAATTATAAAAAATAAAAACATCCAATGATTGTTAAAATTTATTGATATTTTAGCATTTTCAGACAAAAAAAAAAAGACTAGATTACACCCATCCATCCATTCATTTATCCATCTCTCATCTTTACTCGCTTCTTCCTTTTCAGGTTGCAGGGGGTCAGTGGTGCACATATCCAGGTTGCAAGTCTATCACAGAAAACTGGATTCTTGTAAAGAAAAAAAAAAGGTATTATTTTGCCAAATTTTTAAAAACTAAAATGAACTGTGCAGGCTTATGTCTTTTTTTAAATTTTATTCTGGAGCAACTGAGCACTTTGAAGAAATAAAGCATAAAGTTAAAGGGAGTATAATTTACTCTGTGTATTAGTACTATTATCCACATATTTGCAAAGGAAATGACAGAAAAACTGGCTAAGCTAGTAATTTTTTGTTGTGGGTATAGCATCCTATAAAATTCAGAACTCAAAGCTTGAAAGAGCCGCTCCAGGGGGACCAAAGAGCCGCATGTGGCTCCAGAGCCACGGGTTGCAGACCCCTGAGCTAGCCAAACAGTCCTCTTTTTCTTGTGTCTTTCAGGGTTTTAAACCAACTTATTTTCCAAAGCAACATACTGGTGTGAAAGAAAACTATGTGCATTAACAAACAGTAAACCTTCACATTTTTGAATGACACCAGCTTAACTTTGAAAAAATGTGGGAGGTTTCTTTTTACGTTTTGAGCCCTCTGATTTGCATATTACATTAACTATAACACACTCTTCTATGAAACTTTTCCCAAATTTCTTCAAACACAGTTGTTGTATTTTTTTCTTTTTTTTTAAGGTATTGTAGATTGTAATGTGTATGAACATAAACAATATTGTAGTTTTAAATCAGAACCAAACCAAAAAAACTGACTTTAAGTTCTCGAATATTGGCTGTCCTGATTTCTATAGACATCAGTCATATCTCATTTCACATCTGTCATCAGTCATTGACACACCCATATCAGTTGAGCTTTGAAGTAAACAGAATTAAACCAGTGTATGTACAAAATGCACAGACATTAAGTTGTTAATATCAGCTTGTGGCCATATTAGATATATGCATTGCTGCACTCTGAAATCTCCAATTTCCATGCAATGACAGCACACTGTTGTATTGTTCAGAACGAATGAAACTATGAAAACTACCATGCACTGGAAAAAAAAATCCATAAAAGTATTTAATTGTCAGTCTGATTTCTCTGAAGTAGGCAACACATGTTTGCAATTGCATTGTAATGGTGCAAAATTAGATTTCTTGGAAAAAATGTTTCCATCTTGCGAGAAGTGCGTTGCCAGGTAGCTTGTTGTAGGTAGCTTACTGTATACAGAAGTGATTTATTAAAACGTCTTTTTGCTCTTCTGTGTCAAACTCCTTGTACAAGGCTCCAGATTATGAAGGCCATCATATCAAGCATAATGAGCAAAGCACGCTCTTGACAAGCACATTAGCCAGGCAATAAAGTAATACAAGTGATTAGTTATTAACAAAAGAGTTTGGACAAGAGACCAACTTATAAACAGTGGTCAAGTCAGTCTGTGTATTCTTACATCATCAAAATGTGAGGGAACAAAGAAGCAGACATTAGCTTGTCATTCGCTTTATGAATGTGATCTTTGTAAGATGGTGATAATCGCAGTAATGGTGGTAGTTAGTAAACAAGCTGTTGAAATGGAGTGCCAGCAACTACAGTGCACGCACACGCACACCGCACACACAGAGCCTTGCAGGAATGCACAGACGCTGTAATGAACCAACCTTGCCAGGAAAACACAACTACAAAACACAAAGAAAGCACCCAACTGTACTCTGTGGCCAGTGTGTGTGTGTAAATGTCTGTCTGTAATTTTTTTTTTTGTGCATGTGAATGTGCAATTTATAGTTAAGTGTAGTAAAGCAATAGTTGAGGTCTTTTGAAGTGAGGCTCTGTGGAAAGGTTACAAACAATTAACATCTTACCTGTTGTAGATGGCTCTTTGAACAATCTCAGAGGGATAACAATTACCAGTACTGTAGTTCTGAATGGGCTGCCAAGCTAACGAGTGGGTCCGAGTGCACGGTCATAAAACAACTGAAATGCAGTGTTTCCCCGAGATAACTTGCCATGGCGGGGCGCTCATCTCGTCTGTGATTTTTGTTGGGTGGTGCGGGGGAAGAGACGGACACAGACACGTCCTGTGCTGCGCAACACCTTGTTTATACCGACAGTTTTAGGGTGGGGGGAGACAGAGACACAGCCACGCGCTGTTTGCACCGACAGTTTTAGAGCAGCGGTGGGGGAAAGGAGAGAGACAGAGACATGTCTCAGCCGCGCGCCGTTTGTACCCACAGTTTGTTTGTTTTTTGGGTGGGGTGGGGGGGGCAGACACACATGAGCCGTGCGTTGTTTGTACCGACAGTTTTTGAGAGTGGCGGGGGGTCGGCGTGAGGGTTCAGCATGAGGGAAGAGGCTGCATTTAGCTGTTTTAGCTCATGCACCTGCATTGCGAGCTGCTAGTTGAGCATTACGTCAGTACCGACAAGTGGTCGGGGGCGGGGTGTCGGTAGACGGGGAGCTCGGTATAATGGTAGGGGAAACACTGAAATGTCTAACTACACAGGATTTCATGACAATGCTATTTAGTAAACTTTCACCCTGCAATTACTTTTTTTTGTTTGTTTAGTATTCAACTTTATTGTGTTTCATCAAAATTAAAAACACAAGCACACAACGTGTAGACCGAAAAAATGTGTAGGTAGAAGCACAAGCTTATTATACCTTCACTTTGTTATACATAAAATACCAAAAACAAAGCAGCAGAATTTTTCCTATGTAATTTTCTAAAACATATCAAGGAATTACAGCTAAACTGATAGACAAACTCATAAAATAAAAAAAATTCCAAAACACACAAAAAAAGATAAAAAAAAATACTATCAAACCTTATTACAGTATATTTGTTTAACAAATTATTTTTAATAATTTTTTTATTTAAAGAGTGAAAAACACAATTGTAACTCCTCACAACTATTTCACACCTGAATCCATTTAACTGAGGTACAGTTGTTTTTAATATCTGTCCTAACCTTTGTTTTTGTTTTTTTAATAAATCCTTCTCTCTTAAATTATAGATTTTCCCTTTAATTTTGAACCACTTTTGAATACACCTTGAAAGGAGTTTATTATAGGCTTTGTACATAATCAGTGC